AAACTTCGTCAGAAACATTTTTAGATTATAATTAATAAGCGCTTATACAATTTTTTTAAATTGAAGTTAAATCAAATTCTTTATATGTTGTGTTGCTTTGTTTTTCTTTTATTTTGTTTGATTTTTGTTTTTGTTTTGTTTTGTACACAAGAAACATCTATCAGGGGACATTTTGAAAAAATTGTATTTTTTGTCTTTTAAAAATTTACCATTCATGCAATTATCAACAACAGAGTTTGAAAGGTAATAATTTTGTTTCTATTTTGCAGTATTAAAATTTTAAAAATAAATTAAAATCTTTATAAAGTTTATGAAGCGCACTATTTAGGTTCAGTCTATGAATTAGATTTTAGACAATTTAAGTTTCAGGTTTAGGTATTAATAATTATACCTGTGCCCCCTGTTCCCCCTGTTCCTCCTGTTCCTGGATACACTACTCCTCCTGGAATTGAGGGGGTTTTATTGAATGCATAATAAATTAGAAAGATAATTATTATATCCTAGTCAAAAAAGAGCGACAAAAGTTACAACAAAATACCCAACAAAAGCAAGCAAACCAAATGTACATGTACCTTGTTTCTGTAAATTTCGTCAGAAACATTTTTAGATTATAATTGTTAAGCGCTTATACAATTTTTTTAATTGAAGTTAAATCAAATTCTTTATATGTTGTGTTGTTTTGTTTTTCTTTTATTTTGTTTGATTTTGTTTTTGTTTTGTTTTGTACACAAGAAACATCTATCAGAGGACATTTTGAAAAATTGTATTTTTTGTCGTTTAAAAATTTACCAGGTCATGCAATTATCAACAACAGAGTTTGAAAGGTAATAATTTTGTTTCTATTTTGCAGTATTAAAATTTTAAAAATAAATTAAAATCTTTATAAAGTTTATGAAGCGCACTATTTAGGTTCAGTCTATGAATTAGATTTTAGACAATTTAAGTTTTAGGTTTAGGTATTATTAATTATACCTGTGCCCCCTGTTCCTGGATACACTACTCCTCCTGGAATTGAGGGGGTTTTATTGAATGCATAATAAATTAGAAAGATAATTATTATATCCTAGTCAAAAAAGAGCGACAAAAGTTACAACAAAATACCCAACAAAAGCAAGCAAACCAAATGTACATGTACCTTGTTTCTGTAAACTTCGTCAGAAACATTTTTAGATTATAATTGTTAAGCGCTTATACAATTTTTTTAAATTGAAGTTAAATCAAATTCTTTATATGTTGTGTTGCTTTGTTTTTCTTTTATTTTGTTTGATTTTTGTTTTTGTTTTGTTTTGTACACAAGAAACATCTTATCAGAGGACATTTTGAAAAAATTGTATTTTTTGTCGTTTGAAAATTTACCAGTTCATGCAATTATCAACAACAGAGTTTGAAAAGTAATAATTTTGTTTCTATTTTGAAAAAAAATCCCATAAGAACACGCATAAAATAGTTGCCTTTTGAAAAATAGGAGATATATCTAGTTATGGAGAAGCTAAAAATTGGACCTTTTTCGAATAAACTTAATAAGTTGAAACTTAATCATTAATCGGATGTAGTGCGTTGATGCCAACAAGGCTATGCGCTTCTATAGGAAGATAGGTTGATTGATTGATTGCATGTTGTTTTATGTCCAGTTCGAGAATTTTTCACTCATATAGAGACGCCACCATATACCGATGAAGGGCTTCAAATTTAGACCTTTACTTGGCAAGTGTGCTTGCAGTATTAAAATTTTAAATATAAATTAAAATCTTCGTAAAGTTTATCAGGCGTACTATTTACGTTCAGTCATCTATGAATTAGATTTTAGACAATTTGAGTTTTAGGTTTAGGTATTATTAATTATACCTGTGCCCCCTGTTCCTCCTGTTCCTGGATACACTACTCCTCCTGAAATTGAGGGGGTTTTATTGAATGTATAATAAATTAGAAAGATAATTATTATATCATGATCAAAAAAGAGCGACAAAAGTTACAACAAAATACTCGAGAAAAGCAAGCAAACCAAATGTACCTTGTTTCTGTAAACTTCGTCAGAAACATTTAGATTATAATTGTTACATGTAAGCGCTTATACGATTTTTTAAATTGAATTTTAATCATATTCTTTATATATTGTGTTGCTTTGTTTTTCTTTTATTTTGTTTGATTTTTGTTTTGTTTTGTACACAAGAAACATTTTATCAGAGGACTTTTTAAAAAAAAATTGTATTTTTTGTCGTTTGAAAATTTACCAGTTCATGCAATTATCTCCAACAGACTTTGAAATGTAATAATTTTGTTTCTATTTTGAAAAAGAAAACCCATAAAAACACGCATAAAATAGTTGTCTTCTGAAAAATAGGAGATATATCTAGTTATGGAGAAGCTCAAAACTGGACTTTTTTTTCTAATAAACTTAATAAGTTGAGACTTAATCATTAATCGGATGCAGTGCATTGATGCCAACAAGGCCATGTGCTTCTGAAGGAAGATTGATTGATTGCATGTTGTTGTACGTCCCATTCGAGAATATTTCACTCATATAGAGACGTCACCATATACCGTTGAAGGGCTTCAAATTTTGACCTTTACTCGGCACTCAGGGCCATTGAGCAGTGAGGGAACTTTATCGTGCCAACGCCTGCCGTGACAGGGGGCCTCGGTTTTTAAGGTCTCATCCGAAGGACCCGCAACTTTCACTTCAAAGTGCCGAGCGCATGGCGAAGGAACAGTTGCTACCAACTTTTTTGTCGACTTAGGACAGTCGCAGCCGAGATTCGAACTCACGACCTCCCCATCACGGAGCAAGCGCTCTACCGACTGAGCTACCGTCAACAGTTCTAAAGGAAGATAGGTTGATTGATTGATTGATTGCATGTTGTTTTATGTCCCGTTCGAGAATTTTCACTCTTATAGACACGTCACCATATACCGGTAAAGGGCTTCAAATTTAGACCTTTACTTGGCAAGTGTGCTTGCAGTATTAAAATTTTAAAAATAAATTAAAATCTTTGTATAGTTATCAGGCGTACTATTTAGGTTCAGTCTATGAATTTGAGTTTAGATAATTTAAGTTTTAAGTTTAGGTATTATTAATTATACCTGTGCCCCCTGTTCCTCCTGTTCCTGGATACACTACTCCTCCTGGAATTGAGGGGTTTTTATTGAATTGATAATAAATTAGAAAGATAATTATAATATCATGGTCAAAAAAAAAAGAACAACAAAAGTTACAACAAAGTACCCGACAAAAGCAAGCAAACCAAATGTACCTTGTTTCTGTAAACTTCGTCAGAAACATTTTTAGATTATTATTGTTAAGCGCTTATACGGTTTTTTAAATTGAATTTTAATCAAATTCTTTATATGTTGTTTTGCTTTGTTTTTTTTTTTATTTTGTTTGAATTTTGTTTTTGTTTTGTACATAAGAAACATCTTATCAGAGGACTTTTTAAAAAAAATTGTATTATTGTCGTTTGAAAATTTCAGTTCATGCAATTATCACCAACAGACTTTGAAAGGTAATGATTTTGTTTTTATTTTGAAAAAAAAACTCCATAAGAACACGCATAAAATAGTTGTCTTCTGAAAAATAGGAGATATATCTAGTTATGGAGAAGCTAGAATTGGATTTGTTTGACAGTTTCGATTTACGTCATATCTAGAAATCCTCCAAAAAGGAGACAGTATTCTATTTTGAACACCCAATGAATTTTTCAAAATTAAGTTTCATTTCTGCAATCAAAGCTTTAATGTGTACATGTAAGCAATTTCCAAGCGATTTTTACTAGCAAATAAATATACCTGTTCCTGATCCACCTAAAATTTACAGCAATGAATTACAAAGTGCCAGATGTGTCTTAATGTTCCTCTACTTTTTAGATATGTGCGTCAAACAAAAAATAATTTATTTATTCCTTTCTATGATACAATTATTCCTTGTTATTCATTTACACATTCAAAATTATGTGGAAATGCAACAATTCATACAGAAGCTTTTTCCACCTCCCTAAAATTTAGCTTTTAAAAGCATTTTCGGCCAGCTTTCTTTCTCAAAATATGTTTAAATAAGCTTTTACTCAGAATTAAAAAATGTTGACAAGCAAGCCTTTTCATCATCTATAAAAGCATTTGATGAAGGCTACTTATTCTGTTTATGCACTAGTCTATCACTTACATATCTTGAGGCACTTGATGCAAATCGCATTTTCAAAGTAATGTGCAAGTATGATGTTTGATTATCAATAGTGCTGACAAATATGGAAAAAAAAATTATGTCTGTAAAAAAATACTTCAGTGTAAATCAGACTACATGTATAAACTTCAAGATGGGATTTCTTTTAACGGTTTTGAGTTTTTCTGATAGGAAAATGTCGCAATTTAAAATCTAAACACACTTACGAATTTATAAGAAATAACACGGACGGTTTTATAGTTTTATATTACTTTTATTTTGACGTCACAAACGTTGAACAGCGTGCAAGTGCAACGTCATAAGCGAAAATGAAGATTCTGAAATTTGCAGACATGAAAGGGAGTTAACAAATGTAAATATTAGCATTGAATTATTATTTTTTTAAAGATGTTGTATCATAACTGCAATGATGTGTGCAAACAAATTTTAATAACGCACATTACTTAACTTGTTTTCACACACCGTTGCAGTTATGAGACTACATTTTTCAAAAAATAATTTATCAATGCTTAATTAAAATATTAAAGGCGATTTGGTGCAGGAGCAAGGAATATGTATATTAAACACAAAAACAAAACGGACCTATTAATTCAGTAAGAGTAAAAAAAAAGCTCAAGCGAATTTTAAGCGATAATAGAAATAATATTTATACCTGTTCCACTAACACCTAAAATTAACAGTTTTATTAAGTAAGTGTTCTTGTAGTATTAAAATTTTATTTTGAATTAAAATCTTTGTAAATTTTATCAAGCGTACTTTTTTGGTTCAGTCTATGAATTAGATTTTAGGCAATTTAAGTTTAAGGTTTAGGTACTATTGATTTTACCTGTACCCCCTGTCCCTCCTGTTCCTGTAATCACACCCCCTCTTGCAATTGAAGGGGTTTTTTTTATTGAATGAATAATAAATTAGAAAAATAATTATTATATCATGGTAAAAAAAGAGCGACAAAAGTTACAACAAAGTATCCGAGAAAAACAAGCAAACCAAATGTAAATTGTTTCTGTAAACTTCGTGAGGAATATTTTTATGTCATAATTGTTAGGCACATTAAGGATTTTTTAAACTTTAATCAAATTTGTTACATAATTGAAGTTATTATTTTATTTTATTTAATTTTTGTTTTTGTTTTGCACACAAGCTAACATTTTATCATATGACTTTTAAAAATTCTTTAATTTTATTTTATTTTTTTTTATTCATTTTTTTTTTTTTTTTTTTTTTTTTTTTTTTTTGGTGTAGAAATTGACCAACTCATGCAATTATCACCAACATACTTTTAAAGGTAATAATTTTATTTCTATTTTGGGAAGCAATTAAGACACAAATAAGATAATTCATGTCTTCTGCAAAATAGGAAATACATATATCCACATGGATTAAGTTATAGATTTAAGAATTGTATTTGTTTGACAGTTTCGATTAACTTCTCATAGAGAAATCCTAAAAACAAGTAGACAGTATTCTATTTTGTAAACACAAATGAAATTATTCAATTTCATTTCTGCAATCAAAGCATAAATGTGTAAGCGATTTCCAAGCGATTTTCAGGATCAAATAAATATACCTGTTCCTGATCCACCTAAAATTTACAGCAATGAATCACAAAGTGCTAGATATTTCTTAGTGTTACTTTGCTTTAGATTTGTATGTTAAGAAAAAAAATTATTTATTCCTTTCTATGATGTGATTATTCATCGTTTCGTTTTTCTTGATTTATTCATTTATGCTTATAAATTTATGTCAAAATGAAACAACTGATAGAGAAGCTGTTCCCCTTTCCTATAATTTAGCTTTGAAAAGCATTTTTGACTGGGTTTCTTTCTCAAAATATTTGTTTAAATTAGCTTTTACTTAGAATTAAAATTTTTTTTGACATGCAAGCCTTTTATCACCAGAAAAAAGCATTTGATGAAGGCTATTTTTTCTGTTCATGCCACTGGAGGCACTTTATGCAATTGCATTTTCAAAGTAATGCGCAAGCAAGATATATATGCTTATTGATAGTGATAACAAAATAAGATAAAAACATGTTTGTGCCTAAAAAAAATACTTCAGTGTATACAAGACTTTAGACTTCAAGATGGGATTTTTTTATACGAATTTTAGTTTACCTGGTAGAACGGGAACGGGATATACGTCTGAAAAAAGTGACAGTTAAATCTTCAAATAAATGATTCATTTTTATATTTTTTTTTCGTTTGAAGACAATTATTATTCCTGCAACCTTTGACACCGTTTTCAGTATGGACCTCTTTATATTTATAAATGTATATACTAGTTGAAAACCCGCGCAAGCGCAGGAAATTAAATTGATGCCTATGTCGACAAAGCATAAAAATTGTATAATATACAGTACATGTATATGATTTGAATTAATAAGGAATATTTTGGAGAAGTTTTTAAGCATGTGTTAAGCCATAGGCTACGATTTTCAAACATGCCTGTTCCACCAGAACCTGAATTTTCAGTAACTTTAATTAGACTATACAAATGATGGCTTTGACTAATGATCCGCCTCAAGTTTTATACCTATTGTGTTTTAACGATAACCTAAGAATTTTAAATCCTAACCAACAAAGAAATAATCATAACTTTTCTTTCCAACCTTTTCTTTACGAAGTCATTTCCAATCTCTGAAGAACAATACCCTGTATTATAAATTTATATGTTTAAAATAAACAATTATGATAAATTACCTGTTCCAGTCATAGTTCCTGAATGTTAAACAAGATAAAAGCGCTGTTCTAATTTCGTTCTTAATAACACTACTTATATATTCAGCTAATGGGGCCTCGATTTTTCGAAAAATAACTTTAGATTAAAACACCGAGAGAAAAAAAGATTAAAATTACCTGTACCAGTCATAGTTCCACATGAATATCAAACATAGAAAATACTACGTAGCACACTTCAAATTTCAATACTTAACAACTAATAATCGTAACGCCAATACTATTTATATAATTAGATATGGAAGACAAACTTGATTTTCGAAAAAAGGGAAAAAGAGGATATTTTATCTTAAAACTTCAAGAGAAAAAAAAGAGTTGCAAAATTACCTGTTCCTGTGCCAGTCATTGTCCCTCCTGAATATTAAATAAAAAATAAGTTCAGTTTAAAGTTTGCTGTTTTATATAATAAATTTAGCGTGTTTTATGTTCATATTTTCAGATCAGGAAGGAAAACTAAGTTTTTGATTCAGTTATACAAAGAAATAAATACTTTTTATATGTCAAATTTTAGCATAAATTACATCTTATATAATTCTTTCGTAAGATTACACATTAAATGATGTTATATTATGTTATATGATGATAAATTTTGCTTCGCATGTGCAAATCAGTCGGATAAAAATGAGAATCAAGCAAACACTGGTTAAAAGCATTGTCAGACAAACACCTCAATGCAATTTCTTCGCAAATGTCTCAATATGAAGCAAATTATTAATGTAAGAAGTATTTGCAAACTTGTTAGTTAGTTAAATTAAGTATCTGTAGCAAAGCGAATTGTTGGAAGTGCAAGATCGAAGGGAAAACTCAAATAAGGTATGAAAATAGCAGTTGTAAATTCAGGAATGCTCAATTACAATCTATTTTGATCCAATAATGTAAAACAAAGCATTGCATGATGTATTTTAATATTAGATGAATATGCTCTCAGAAATCAGACACATACATATTGCAAATAGCAATCAAATGCTCCAATGAATTCGATGTAGTTGATTGCATGCTTGAATTTAATCGATCATTCTTATTAAAATATAGTCAATGTCCCTACCTGATGAGCAAAGATGACAGTAATTGGGACATTGTTCACGTGCAAAAGCAGCATAGGCAGAATTGGTGCAAATAGCTGATCCCATTGAAGCACAGTTCAATTTGTCAACGCATGAACCTGTTGCAAATTTAAGGCAAGCAAGGCAAACATAAAGTCCACAGAAAAACAAGCTTTTGTAAAATGAAATTCTCAGCAACACCAAAAGCAATAGGTGGAATGAATTGGTATTTTCTTTCAATGATATAAGTCAGTCTTTTATTTATTTAAAAAGTTATATTCTTCTTTTTTTGCTCAGTGTACAAGTATGAACAATGTACCACTTGGTATGTTATAACGTGTAAACTGAACGTTTCCAACCAGAAAAATCATCCTATAATACTAAATTTGAACACTTTGGGGGACATAAATCAGTAGGTCTCTCCATACCATGAAACAAAGAAAATTAATCCCAACGAAAATTTGTGATTTTACGATAACTGATAAAAACCAAGGTAAATGACCCTGAGACTAAAGTGTATTTTTACTGTCTCATTAATAATTTATCTAAAAAAATGAATTTTGAGCTTTTTTTAAACTGTTGTATTCTATTACGATTTAAAAATAAAAGTCAAACTTTATCATATTTACAAGACTGAGAAGGAAAAAAATATTTTACCATAAAACTTGGAGAAAAAAGTGCTTTTTAAAAAGCATCTGTTCCAGTCATCGCTCCAGTGTACATTACTTACATTACTCATTCGGAAAAGGGAGGAAATTTTCTCTGTTTTTGAAACACTTATACAAAGACTTTTCAAAAAATATATTTTAAAAAATATTTCTTAAACAGTAAACTTTATGCAGATCCTAAGGATAAAATGTATCCTATGTAATAATTTTTTTGTAAATGTATGTCATTGATCTAGACTATCTATTTTTAGGGTCTGGTTGGTTAAGAGGAGACACAAGTAGTAGACTATGTATAAGATCTCCTATAGCTTGTGGTTTTACATGATTTTTTATCTAACGAGTTGCGTGGTTTTAAGGCGGGGGGATAAAACGCAGAATGATTTGGATAAAAATCACATCTAACCACAAACCATGGGAAATTCTTTTTATCACATGTTTAATACATAGCTATTTCATGTTTTACACTGTTTTATATATATAAACAGTAGGTACATGCACATGTAAATCAAAAATATTTTACTAGAACAAATTCACGCAAAAACCATTGGGAAGTCACAACCGTGGATATGAAAACGATATCCTATGAGCTATATCCACTGGATAAAGATGTTAACATTAATAAAAATATTTATCAGAATTTCAAGCTTATTTTCATTATATCCCTCTGGCTTGAAATACTGCCTGAAAGATTTAGGGGATATTATCGGAATATCCAATACAAACTTAAATTTCAGGCTTTTACCCTGTATTTTCAATAACTTGATCTAATATTCTTTGCCATATTTCATCAATTAAAAGACACCATACCAATTTTATTTTTTGTGTGCAAGAAGGTGCCTAAAAACTAATAAAGAAACCAGAGTTGTAAACATGATGCATAGTGTAATTCAAAAAATAATTTAAAACACGCTTACAACACATGAGATCACAATAGAGAAATTTTTGATCTTTGAAAAAGAAAAAGATTTTTTACCTTAAAACTTCGAGTGAATAAAAGTTTGAAAAAAAATTACCTGTGCCTGTCATTGTTCCACCTGAAAATCAAGCATAAAAATATGTACCGTTCAAATTTCCGTTTTTAATTAATAATCGAAATGTATCCATCACTCAGACAACTTGACAAGGGGGGTTAAAGTTTGTGATACACGTGCTCTAAGAGTACCACAAAAATTTTTCTCTAATTTCATATACAGTAGAACTTCGAGTAAAGAAGAGTTTGAAAAAACTTACCTGTTCCTGTACCAGTCATTGTTCCACCTGAAAATCAAGCATAAAAATATGTACCGTTCAAATTTCCGTTTTAATTAAAAATAGTAACGTGTGCACATTTCTCTGGTCTTCTGACAAGGGAGGACAATTTTAAAAGTTTCTGTTACACTTACAATAAAACTTTTTTTTTCAAATATTTTTTCTAAATATTTCATGAAAACTAAACTCAATACATATCATATTCTACGATGTAAAATGTTTTGTAGACATTTTTGGTAAAGGTAATATGTTATTGACTTACATAAGTAGGTAGTACTTGTATTTTTAGGGACTGATTGGTTCACAAAAAAAATCTTGTCGAATGAATCTATCATAGGAACTTCAAAATTATTTTTATAAAACCCTTTCGTCTTAGAATAAACCTAACAAAATAACAATAACACTTGTAATACACTGTCAACTTTAGTTTAGTTAGCTATAGTTTACTAAACATGTAGTCAACTATTATTTACTATTATATAGTACATACATTAACAGTTTGAGACTTTTCTTTGATACTTTGTTTTTATGTCATACTTCTCTAATAAGGAACTTTTATTTACTATGAAACTTTTTTGAGATTGAGACTATCAATATCCCTCAAATGCCATAATAAAAGTGGTAATTTTTTAAATAATATTTGAATCTACAATAAATTCTTTCCTTATGATGTAAAAATATCTCTTTTGAGAATTGAAATTAATGAAATATAACGATATGATTTGCTTTGTAAAAATACTGTAGTAATTTAGTTTACTATCAACAGTATTTTTTTATCAGGAAGGTTAACGAGATATAATCCAAAAACCAATCCTATCATTCAGGCATTTATCCTGTAATTTTAACAATTCTAAATTATTTGTCATACCGGTAGTTCTTCATCGCAATATTTCATCAAATAACAGAGACAAAACCTTGTGATTTTTTCTTCACAGTGGTTAAAAGTTTAAAAATTCCATGAGAAAAGAGTTGTGAATTTGAATAATTAAATTTGCAATTTTAAAGACGCTTACATATGTTTATAATTCTTTTTAAAATCAATTTCTGAATAAGATAAACTGGATTTTCCTACCTGTCATTCCACCTGAAAATATGAAAAGGATGCAGCAATTAAATAAGATAACAATTAGCACCGATATACTAGTACATGTGCATTTAAATTACGAATATAATTTTGTGGACATGTTTCTTGGGATCAGGAATGGTTAGGGGTAACTAAAAACAAATAGATTCCATTGGAATAAATAGCGGGGAGTTTTTTGTAACTGCAAAAATCCTTAAAAATCATAGTTTGAAACGGATGCTTAAAAGGAATTTTGAAATCTTTTTCATGTTTATCAGTCCCATCCTGATATTGAGTTATTAAAAGAATAAAAATAAAATTAAAGTGAACCAAATAATATTTCATGAACCTTACTCAGTATTTAAACTATTTGTTATAAAAATTATTGTTTTATCATTCACTTAGTTTATTATTAACTATATTGATAATGAAAAAAATATATTTTGGTTTTGTGACAGTGTGATGTCACGCAATTATTATGTAATAATCAAGATTTTCACTCAGTTGAATGAGAAAATCCATATGAAATTCCCCTCTAACCATGAATGGAATATTAAAATCATGAAAAAAAAATCGTCAAAATATAGTATTTTGCATACAAATAAAACCCTTAGATTAATATTATTTGTGTGACAAATTGTTACAGGATTGCCGGGCACTGAATCTAATTTTTCAAGTTTCTTAAAAATAATTTTCAGTGTCATATCTTACGAAAATAGAGTATCAATGAATTTCACAATTAAAATAAAAGAACACAAAATGCATTAAAAGTAAAATAATTCATAGGTAATTTGACGCTTTGAGAATACACTTTTACACTTGTTGCAGAAGTGTAACATAATTCAAAGGAACTGGACGATTTAGAACACACAATTGTTGTAGAGGTATAAGAAAATTCAAGGTAATTTAACGCTTTAGAACACACTTACACTTGTTGCAGAAGTGAGCACAGTTCTTAGAGACCCAGGCGCTGTATTGTGGATCGGTACAGACTGCAGTTCCGTAATTTGCACAGTTATTGATAGCATCAGCACATGAACCTACCAAAAAATTAAAATACATCAGTTTATACTAATATAGCATACGTTTTACAGGTAAATATTCATAAAACTAAGGATTTCTTCTTTCTAAAAGTAACTTTTGTTTAAAAAGAAACTAAATGTACCTGACATTGATCCTGATCCACCTGAAACTACTGAAAAAGTAAGAAAAAAATGAAAATAGTGTGCACAAAATTAACATTTATACTGAAAAAAGCCCAATTTCCTTTTCTGAAATAAAATCAATCCAGCTAGAAAAACAGCATATACATATATTTGAAAATATTGCGCTTAAGGAACAAGCATGACAAAAAATATTTTCATCTTTTTAATCATAGTTTTAAAATTGTTCCATCTGGTATCTCAGACTATTGTCAACTCACTTCACACATGCGTAGTACAAATATTTAAAATGATACTGATAACCTTTGTATCTTATTCTTAAAACTTCGTACATTTTTCCTCTCATTAAATATCTCCGTTATGGAAATAAGGATTTTTCAGATGACTCCTTCATGAAGTGATAATTTGAAATAAAATACATTTTCTTACCTGTACCACCTGTGCCACCTGTACCACCTGTTCCACCTGTTCCTCCTGTACCTGTAAAAATTAATTAATTATTAGATTTAATTCACTGGTAAACAGTTGTCAAAATTCAGAGAAAATTTTCCTTCGTATTGGTTCATCTGGGTAAACTTGACAAGTCAAGATAACCAAACTAAAGTTCTCATGGTTACTTATATAACAATGGTTACTTATCATATAACAAACTAGTAAAAATATATCGCTTAAAACAGAAACAAAACAAAAGAAAAATTGCAGATTTTATCTCTTTTAATTTTATGAATCTGAATTCAACATAAATCCTTACCAAAGTGCAAGCTGAAGCCCCCATCTCCACCACCAGAACTTGTACCTTTATAAACAGAAAGTGTTGAGAACTGACGCGAAATCTTGTTCGAAATTATTCTTATAATCAAAAAATTTTAATGTACATAAAATCATTTCAAAAAAGAAAACACATTAAATAAGTGCTTGAATAAAAAAAACCCCAGATGTCTTAGTCCTTTTTAGAAATGTATATTTACATGTTCATTGGCCCTTTTTATTACTGTACATTCACATGAACAGGTATTGCTTTTGTCCCTTTTAATCTAAAAAAGAAACTGTTGAAACATACCACCACACATATTACAGTAGCTGGCACAGTTCTGTTTAACCCATTGTGTGTAACTGGCATCAGAACAAACGGCCTTTCCATAGTTAGCACAGTTATTGATTGTGTCATGACAAGTTCCTCCTAAATAAAGAAATTGAAGAAAATATTTAAAATATTGAAATACACAAGTTTTCTATTTTTGGATATCTCTTAGCACAGAGGATCCCAATAAAGATTTTTACAAGGAAGTTAGGAGGAAAAAAAACGTTGAATTTTATTCTTAAAAATTCCATATTTGGAATTTTAAAACTATAGCATAATATATAATGCTGCTTTATTTTTAGAATACTATCTTACCAGTCATAAAGGATCCAGAGTGTGATGAACCACCGCCCATTTGTACGGATGGTCCTATCCATCGAAAGAAAAACAAACATGAATTTTTAAAAGGAGTTGGTAATCCTTGAAAATAATGTCAATTAAAATGGTGATTAACTTTTTTCAAATTTGAATATAAGTTTTCCAAATTATATGAACGATTAAAGTTTCGACAATTCAACTTGTTCAATTGGATTGGATATATTTTACTAAAAAGCTAAATACAGAAAGAGTATGCGTAAAAGAAGTTGACTTTTGGAGTTTGGGCAAAGCAGTTTTTTTTTTTAAATTCTTCGGCAAAAATCTGAAAAATTAAAGCATTCAATTTGACACCTTCAGACCGATGTTGTTTACATGTCAAGGTTTTAATTTAGCTTATATAGAGAGAGAGATTTGGAGGCAGACGTCAAAAGAATGGGCAAGAACTGGAAAGAGGTAGAAAGCACTGCTCAGGATAGAGGGGCCTGGATGAATCTTGTCAGCTGCATACGCCCCAGAAGGGGTAGCAGGCATAAGTAAGTTAGTACGTGAGTAAAGCAAGATTTCTTTGTTACTATTGCAGTAGTTACTATCTACGCTGTAACATCAATGAATGTACCGAGACATTATATGGGTCAGATAAATATGTGTCTTGATCAAATTAATACAACCCTTTCGATCACATTAGAAGGTCGACGTCAAGAAATTTCGATTTTTTTTTTTTGAAATAGCACAAGATGAGTGGCATTTAAGAAGTATCTTTACTGCCTTTCACATTTCCATAAATGTATATTATCTTGGGAAATAAACGAAATTTCGGGATGAACTTTGGTAGTAATGTAGATTGTTTATCTGTAAACAGACTCCAAAAGAGAGTAGAATTTGAAATCGTTCGGTTTATTAGTATTTCATCGGCGAAATTAGGTATCCAACTGAGAAATTCCACACCTTTACTTTTGAACCCCAAGTATATCAGTCGGATCAGAGCGATCTGAAGGCCTAATCTAAAGGTGTTATATTTTAAAATCTGAAACTCATTTTGCAAAGGTATTTTTGAAAATAAATAATACATTTGCATTTTGATAAATTTTCAAAACTGAAGCTTAAGATTCATACCGGAACTTCCCGTGATTACCATCCCACCACTTCCGCCTCCGCTACCACCAGAGGGCTGGAAATTACACTGTGGTTTTTGACAGCAACTGTTTGCTGGGTCTTGTGCCATATAGCATCCGTCAGGGAGAGTGTCATAATGGGGACAGCTGAGATAACCCAGAAGCAAAAGCATAATGAAATTAATTCAAAACAGAATTTACTCGTTATAGATTTCATTATTCTACAGAAATAATTCTTTCATATCATTTATACAAAGGAAAAAAAATGTCGGTTTTAAATACAACATACAGATATAACTATATTAAATGTCAAATTACAAAACCAAATGAAATATATGTATATCATTTAAAAAAAACAAAAAAAAACAAAAACAACCTACACCTCTGTACAGCTATATTGTCCACTTGTTCCGTCTTTACATACACAGTTATATTTACAGGGCACCTGCCACGTCTCCCCCTGTCGATGGACCGTTCCCTCGTATAGACATCCTCCACCTAAAGTCACACAAGTAAGCTACATAGTTTTTCTTCGGTGGAAGACTATCTTTGTTTTTCAGACTCTGAGGAAAATACATTCTGAGGAATTTTATTTTTGAGTAGCTTTAATCTGTTTTCATTTTATCTTTACTTCTTCATTTAATTGGTAAGTCTAAATATTGTTAAAAATTTCCTTTCAGGAAATAACTTCCTATCTTCTTCTGTTATTTGTACTCGCATGGTTTGACCTTTTCCGGATAAACATAGAGTAAGTTGAAACTCCTGCATTACATAAGAGTGTTATCTCTTAATGCTATATTTGGAAGTCTGGGATTGACTAGGAATGGTTTGTTCCAAGGTGAGTTTTGTTTTTGTCGTTCGTGACGGGTTATCTATTCTACATGTACTGGTGTCATGGAGTTTTCATGCACAAAGCAAGCAGGTCAAAACAAAAGCTGAATTAAAGTCAAACGCACTTGAAACATTTTATTGCTTATCTTTCTTTGAATGAGTTCATAATACCATTTACATGTAGGAAGACTGAAACTTTAATCATTCATTGTCATAATATTATTTGTATAAAAATATCATCCTTAATAAATAAAAATTAATTTTCTAAAATTTTCAAGCTGTTTGGAATAAAGGATTGTTTGAACTCTTAACAATTCATCAGATCCATGAAATGAAGGTACAATGATTGTTCGACTGCTTCCTGATTGATCGATTCCCAGCATACTCTTTCATAATTTTATGAAAAAAATGAAATCATAACACCCACACAAAAAACAAATAATCAAGACATATAAGCCAACTTTATATATATATATATATATATATACATATACATATACATACTTACATGTATATATTCTTTAGTTAAGAGAGTTAGACAGTCAAATACAGTGTATATGTACTTTGTCTTTTAAGTTGAAACTATTTAACTGTGTGAAATTGAGAAACTTAGCATTTATGAAGGATTTTATACATGATATCTCAAATTTCATATGTAGATTTGTTCCAAAATTTAAACATATCAGTAAAATGATGTTAACATCCCCCAAAGATCAGCTTTACAGTATGTTTGTTTCTAATACATAAAGCCATACATAAATACATAAAGGCATGATTTTCTGATCAATTTTCCTAAGATTCTAAAACATTGCTTTAGATTTTTTTTCCAAATCAGTGACTAATTGTAATAAAAACAAACATATGTATCATCCCAATGAAAAAAGATACAAGGTTCAAAATGAATTAGCATGAAAACAAGATAAAAAACTACATAGTTATGGAAAAAATAAAACAACTTCCTACCAGCCTGCCTTTTAGTGATGTGCACAGTCCTTCGAACTCCTTGGAGTTTCTCTGAAGCGACTATTGCAACACATGAAATGGCAATTAGAAAAATCCTATTCATTTTTGAGAACACAAACTTTTCCGCTTTGATTCCAGGCGAGGATGTCTACGTTTGTGTTATCTGACCAGTGTTGCACCGTCCTTTATATACTGGTGCAGAGGGCTTCCTAGATAGCCGGAATTGTGACGCAATGCATTTGTGCTGATTCTTACAGAATGGTATCAGGTTAAATTAATTATTTAAAAGCAAAATTTAAAACAAATCCATTCGTCTTATCCGAGTGTTTGCCTTCGTAGGCTGGACCCACGACGTTTTCTCCGATAAGATTAAGTCCATTTTTATTCATCGTGACTATTACAAGTACATGTATATGTCCCAGTCTCCGAGATGAAAATTTATTAAATTTGTTTGTTTTGTTTTGCTGTCTTTGAGAATCTTTCACTCATATTGGAACTCCAGCAGTTGCCGGTGGAAAGCTGAAAATTTAGACCTGTACTTTGCAGTAGTGAGGGATTTTTTTTCGTGGCAGCCTCTGCTCGATACGGAACCTACATGTAGGTTTATACGATTTCATCCGAAAAACCGGTCTCCATTTGCGGCATGCAGTGGATTCGACCCCGCGACATTACGATCAATTCCTTACTTTGCGGACTTTAATCAGTACACCAAGCAGGCGACAAAAAAAATATTATATTCAAACCTACGAGAGTTGTTAGAAAAGTTGGCGGACACATTGATTTACGAAAATGTTTTTGTGTACGTTGAAGAGTGACGTATGTCTGGTTAAATTCTTATCTTTTTGTTTATTAGAATGTAAAAAAACAGGTCCATTTACTAAAATTTTGTTTGTTTGATGTTTAACGTCCCTCTCGATAATTTTTCACTCATAATGGACGCCACCACTTGCCGATGGAGGACTGCAAATTTATACCTATACTCGGCACTTCGGGCTATTGAGCAGTGAGGGATCTTTTCTTCCCAACACCTACTGCGACACGGGATCTCGGTTTAAACGGTCTCATCCGAAGGACCGTCTCCACGTCCCGATCCGTCCCGTTCGAAGTGGATTCGAACCTGCGACTTTACGATCAACTCCTTACTTCGCGGACTTTAACCAGTATACCAAGCGGACGACAAAAAAAAAATATCATATTCAAACCTACGAGGGTTGTTAGAAAAGTTAGCGGACACATTGATTTACGGAATATTTATTGTGTACGTTAAGAATGACGTGTGTCTGATTAAATTCTTATTTTTTATTTATTAGTTTGAAAAACAGGTCCATTTACTAAAATTTTGAAAATATACGATGATTTTTACTGTGCGATCATAGGATTTACGGAGAAATGTGACGTGATACCCTATAAAAGGACATTCAAATCTTTGTCTGTTAAAAATTTAATTGAGCTTACGTTTCTAGATAAATAATGGAATCAAAATTTCTTGGTGATTTACTTATTCATTTTTGATAAGTTATATTTAAAAACAAGGATTTTATTATACTTGAATGTGCACAGGGTATGGCCCTACGGCGCACGACCAAAAAGGGTTTTATTAGGGAATATTCGAGAATTATTTCGAAATAAAAATAGTAAATAAATAAGGTTGGGATAAAAATTAAATTATTTTTAATTCCCTATCTATTACGTCGACATTCGCAAAATTTCAAGAAATTTTCTTCACTTTTCGCAGTTTTCGGAGACTTTGAAATGAAAAAGTGGTAAACGCAACACATGAAAAATGGCGGCATTTTATGACGTTATGCCGCAGCCGTGAGCAGTTCGATTATATGTTGATAGAGTAATGACGCCTAAAGAGACTTTAAATGAAAAAAAGAATATTTAAAGAAATCCCTAATACATTAGAATACAAGTGGAATGGGCTTTTTTTTTTGATCGAGTCCCCCTGTAGATCATGATCAAAACATTCATCAGCTATTGGCAATGACAAAAGACGCTATCGCTGTAGACCGTCGAAAAAAGACTGGCTATTTAGTTCAGTCCCTTCCATATCTTATTTTTACAAGTTTTCATAAGGTCCCATTTGTGTGTGTGATTGGTCCCTCGACTGTTTATGAAACAAGAAAGGGGAACTCGAGTGCGTCAGTAAAATTGCAGGACTTAAAGTGGGGCTTCTCCAACTTTTTAAGCAAAGATGAAATGTTGATTCTGACGTTATTATCCGTGCGCCGTAAGCCGATACCACACATAGCAAAAAATCCCATATTTTGTTTATTTGATCATATATATCGCTTTGAAATTTGTTATGTATATTGATGAAAAATGCACTAATGAGTAGGGAAATGTTTAGAAAGCAGTGTTGAGCATTTTTCACTACATGTATAGACTACTTGTCCACGATTTTACCGGACAACCCTCGTACATAAATTCAAAAGAAAAATTAATATGTTTTTGTTTCCTCCAATGGTTTTTTTTAATTGATAATAAATATTCTACTTGTGTATTTGATTGTGTGTCCAAGATTTAAAAACAAAATATTCATGTGTATTTTGGGAGCTTATCTTAAATCAATATTCAATATTCTTCCTTGATTTCCTCAAATCTAGGCCACGTTGCACAAATGCAATCCATCTAGTCAAATTATTCTAACTATATGAAGTTTATGACTTAATTGGTAGATTTTGTCACTTTGACTCATTATGGCAGGGGAGGTTTTTAATTGAAATGGAGATAAAATTTGTAGGCGAACATACACTTTAATATATGTATTGAGGTATTGAGGTAATCCCTGATATAAAATCAAACACAAAAAAAAAAATTACAAAAAGAACATTATAGGCAGAAAAATAATTTTTAAAACAAATTTGTACGCTTAAGATAAACTTTTAAAGTTGTCACATTTTCGCAATGAATTATAATGGATGTGTTCTTTGCAACATTTACAAAATTTCAAACCTTATTAACCTTTTTTCAAGAATTTTGTGATAATTCATATTTCCATTATATACAAATATATGTACATGTTAAACTTTAGATTTTGGATATGCTGGGTGAATATAAAATTAATATAAATATTACAATCTAGATAGGATTCAAATGTTTGCATCAACATTAAACATACATGTACATGTATGACAAACTGCTTCTGACTAATTGAAGACAGTTGATTAACACTCGAAGTCGCTATTCCCGATTAAATCTAGTTTAGAACACGAATCACAAAATAATACTTTTCGTGGATTTTACAGAAGTGTGCTGTGAGGAGGGCTATTTACGGAAAAGGGACGTTGATTTGGCAGATGAGTCAGGTTAATCCATATTAAGAATTTATCAGTTGCTTTCAAGTT